GCTTAGAATAATTAAGTTCTATTTTTAGCCTGTTTTCTACATTTTTGTTATTTTAGCTATGAAAACATGTTTTTTAAATTAACAATTATTCATGATAAATGGAATGATGGGAACGTCTAACCAACTAAGAGCAACTGTAAAAATACTAGAACAAACATCTTTCTAATAGAGACATGTTAGAAGTAGTCAGTTTAAAACCAGGAATGAAACAAACATCCCCATATCATCAGTGCAAAAAGACAAGAAAAAGAAATGAGAGACAAAAGAATGAGAAGGGAGGAAATAAAATGGTCATTTTGGCATTATTTGTTATTATTTCCATAAAAAACCCAAAACAATACATAGATAAATTATTAGCACAGTAATAGGAGAATTTAGTCAGTTAGCTTTGTGTAAGATGAATATATAAAAGTAATTTATGTTCTATTTACCAACGGCAAGCTAAAAAACATAATTAAAGAGAAGACACATTTAAAACACTACCAGAGAAAATAAAATATTAAAAATAAATCTAACAAACATTGCACGTCTTTTCCTTTAAAAAATATGCAATTTCATTAAGAGATATTAAGGGAGTACTAAATAAATTAAGGGAAATAACACATTCATAGATAGGAGAATTTAATATCATAAAGATGGCAATTCTCCAGTTCTCCCCTATCTGACCTACAGGTTTTTATGTTGCCTGATAGGGATCTTAAAATGCTGAAAATAGAAAAGTAGAAAGAGAAGATTTGCCTTACCAAATATCAGGACTTACTATGAACTTACAGTAATTGAGACAATGTGGTTTTGGCACAAGGAAAAACAAATTGACCAATAAAATGTATTAGAAAGCTCAGAAACAGGCTCACATAGATAGGGAACTTCTGTACATGACAGAAGTAGAATGTCAAATCAGTAGGGAAATAAAGAATAATATAGTTCATGGAACTGGGAAAAAAAATCATATGCAAAATGTGAAACTGGATCCCTGCTCACATCCTATACAAAAAGTCAACTCCAGATGGTTTAAGAATGGAAATGTAGGTCAGCCTGGTGGCTCATGCCTATAATCCCAGCACTTTGGGAGGCTGAGGTAGGCAGATCACTGGAGGTCAGGAGTTTGAGACCAGCCTGGCCAAAATGGTGAAACCTCTTCTCTACTAAAAATACAAAAATTAGCTGGGCTTGGTGGCACACACCTGCAATCCCAGCTCCTCAAGAAGACTGAGGCAGAAGAATCACTTGAATCCAGCAGGTGGAGGTTGTAGTGAGCCGAGCTCATGCCACTGCCCTCCAGCCTGGGGGACAGAGTGAAACTCTGTCTCAAAAAATAATTATATTAATAATAATAAATTGAAATGTAAAAAATACTCCATAACTTAAAAATTCTTAGTAGGAAATATAGGTGATTATCTTTCATAAATTGAGTAGGGAAGTATTTTTAAACAAGACACAAAAATATTGACTACAAGAGAAAAATGAATACATTTGACCATATTAATATTGAGAATTATTATATACCAAAAGACACCTTAAAGAAAGTGAAAAGATAATTTACAGACTGGATAAAGATCTTTGCAATACACACGACCTGCGAAAGACTAGTGTTAGGAATACACAAAAAGCAACTCTACAAATTAATAAGAAAAGTGCGAACAACCCAATTTTTAAAAAACGGGCCAATAAGCATTTCACAGAAAAAGAAACAAATAAAACTATGAAGAGATGTTTAACATCATTAGTGATCAGGGAGATGTGAAATAAGAATATAATTAGATAACTTTTAGCACCCATTTGATTGGCAAACTTTAAAAGTTTGATAATACCTGTGTTGGAAAGAAGGAAGATCCATAGGATTTCTTCAAAATTGCTAGTGGGTGCTGCGCACAGTGGCTTATGCTTGTAATCCCAGCACTTTGGTAGACCAAGTCGGTTGGATCATTTAAGCCCAGGAGTTTGAGACCAGCCTGGGCAACATGGAGAAACCTAATCTCTATAAAAATACAAAAATTAGTTTGACATAGTAGTTTGCACCTATAATCCCAGCTACTTGGGAGGCTGAAGTAGGACAATCACGTGAGCCCAGGAGGCGGAGGTTGTTATAGTGAGCTGAGATCACGCCACTGCACTCCAGCCTGGGTAACAAGAGGGAGACTCCGTCTCAAAATAAAATGAAATATTGCTAGTGGGAATGTAAATTGGTGAACAGTTTGGCAAACAAAGTTTGACATTTACATACCCTAAAATGCAGAATTCCACTCCTAGATATATATCCAACAAAAATTCTTTCACATACACAATAAGAGACATGGACCACAATGTTCATGACAGCATCATTCACAATAATAAAATCCTAGGAAAAGACCTTTGATGCCCACCAACAAGAGGCTGAATAAACTTAGTCCACAGTGGAATATTACACAGCTGTTTGAATGAATGAACTGTGGTGACATGCAACAGTATGCATGAATCTTAACAAATACAACTAAATGCAAAGATTATTGCATGCCACATGATATACTTTTTATTGAATTAAAAACATTTAAATATGCATATTTAGGAATGTTTATAAATGCAATAACACTATATAAAAAGGAAAGCAAGGGAGTGAGGATTCAGGTTGATGGCTGCCTGGTATGGGAGGGGTTAAGACATGGCATGGGTAGAGGCCAAATGGTTAGATGCAGGTGATTGTCAAGATCCTAGCTTTTACTTTCGGTGGTAGGTTTATTGGTACTTTTAATACTTTAAACAAATGGTTAGCTAGCTAGCCAGTCAGCAAGTAGGCAGCTCTGACTGCTATGGAGCAGAATGACCAGTTAGGAGGGTGTTTTAACATCCAGATGAAGGAGGGTGGAGCATTGTTCTCAAATGGTGGCCATTGAGATGGAGAGTAATGAACAGAATTAGAGTCTATTTTGGAGGTAATGGAGAACTTACTCTGATGACTTAGAAGTGGGAGGCAAGGAATATTCTATTTTACAAAGTTTCCATAATTTAACAGTCTGCTTTTATGGTACATCTAGGCTGCTTACAATGTTTGTTGCTCCAATAAAAGGTCTATAGTGAACATCCTTGTACCTTAATCTTCATACAAATTCAATTAATGTCTTTCTTCTTTATGGTGTGAAATAGGGTCCAATTTTATTATATTTAAGACTTTTTTAGAGCAATTTTAGGCTCAGAGCCAAATTGAAAGGAAGGTACAGAGATTTCCCATATGGCCTCTGCCCTCACATATGCTCAGCCTCCCACTTACGACATCCCCCACCACAGTGGTACATACATTACAACTGATAAACCTGCATTGACCAGCATTATCACCCAAAGTCTATACCTTACATTAGGGTTCATTCTTGGTGATGTACCTTCTATGAGTTTGGACAGCTGTATAAGGACATCTATTCATTATAGTATCATATAGAGTATTTTCACTGCCCTGAAAATCTGTGCTCCACCTATTCATCCTTCCCTTGTCCCAACCTCTGGCAACTACTGATCCTGTTACTCTCTGCATGCTTTTGCCTTTTCCAGAATGTGATACAGTTGGAATCATATAACATGCAACCTTTACAATTGGCTTCTTTCACTTAGCAATATGGATTTAAGTTTCTTCCATGTCTTTTCGTGGCTTGATAGCTTTTTTCTTTTTAGCACTGAATATTTCATTTACTGGGTGTACCACTGTTTATTCATTCCTCTAATGCAGGACAACGCGGGTGCTTTCAGGTTTTAGCAATCATTAAATATGCTATAAACATCCATGTGCATGTTTTTGTATGGACATACGTCTTCAACTCCTTTGGGTAAATATCGGAGAGCTCAATTGCTGGATTGTATAGTAAGAGTATGTTTAGTTTTGTAAGAAACTGTCAAACTATCTCCCAGAGTGGCTGTGCCCTTTTGCATTCCCACCAGCAATGAACGAGAGTTCCTGCTGCTCCACATCCTCACCAGCATTTGGTGTTCTCATGTTCTGGACTTTGGCCATTCTAATAGATATGTACCTTGAATTAATTTCTTGAAATCAACCTGCAGAAATGAAGTTGTTATAACAAAGGAAGTGTGCATTAAATAAGGCTTTTGATACATATCACCAAGTTAGCTTCCTGAAAGGAAAGATGGTACCACTTTAGCTCCCACTGGTGTGAGGCAATATCCACCAGGGAGTATTGACCTGTCCTTTTCTCCATTCAGAGTTCTGTATTCAAGTACAGTCTCATTGGCAGTGGAAGATAGGTAGGTCTTTCTAGTGAATTTCTCCTAGACTGATGTATGTGTGGTTGCTCAGCACTCTCTGGCTGGACTCTTCCTATTTAGAGAGAGCATTTACTTTCCTGCTTCCTGCAGTGGGCAACCTTAAAGCACAGGACCCCTGTCTTGGGTCCTTTCCTGGAGCATGAGTCAGTATCCTTTTTCTTAGGAAAGGCTTCTTAGCATATGGATGAAAGAGACCTCTTCCCTTTTTTCCTGACCGGAGTCTTCCACTCAGACTCTGGCTGCTTCCCACCCTTAAAGAGCCTTTGGGGATTTCTAACAAACCTGGGATTTTTTTCTGAGTCAATTTGGAAAGGTTAAGCAGGCACATAAAAGAATTAATTAATTACTGAAGTTTATGTCCCCTCAGAGCCTCTAAAGCTGTGCTGTCCAATACAGTAGCCACCAGCCACAGGAAGCAATCTAAATTGGAATTTAAATCAATCAAAATAAATAAGATGGAAAAATTCCATTCTCCAGTTACACTAATCACATTTCAAGTGCTCAAGAGCCACATGTGCTAGTGGCTACCATATTGGAAAACCCAGATATGGAATATTTTCCATCAGCACAGAATGTTTACTGAACAGCACTGCAGGGGTTGGGTTACTCCAGAAATATTCCTGGGGCCCTTTTAGGTGTGCGGTTGAGACGGTCAGTGAGGGTGGGTAGGAGTTGTGGTTACCAATCAGTATGACTTGATAAATTTTTCCTTGCTCATCTAGAAAGTAGCTTTCATATGTTTAGGTTCTTTTTGCTTCTTTCTATCTGGTCTTGATTGAGTAAGGGTCTCCAGTTGTGTCACAGTTATATCTTAAAGACTGTGTGTGTGTGTGCCTTATAAGAGAAGAAGTCTGATCACCAATTTATATCATTGACTATGCCAAAGACCCTTTCCTCTAGAGCAAGGTCCTGGGGTGTAGGAGGATATCCCAGGGGCCACGCCTGACGTGTAGACAGGCTGAAGTTTTGCCTGTGTTTACAGTGGTCCTAAGGACAAATGTTAGGCTAACGCCAGAAATTCAGAATTTTTCATTCCTTCCCGTTACCTTAGTTTCTTTTTGTGCAGTATAAAGATGGAGTTGCTCCAGAGAGCATTTTGGAGATGCAAGAAGAGGGTGCTTGGGGTGATGAAGCTCCAGATTCTGTGTTCTTTCTACTAACCCTGGAGCTGGGGCAAACATGTGACTATGTTTATACCCTGCCTATGTCCAGACCCCGCTGTGAGAAGCAGCTCTTCCCAGTGGCCTAAATATAGCCCTGGGAGCCCCACATGCCACATTCTATCTAGTCTTGGCTTGCACACTGACTCATTGTATGACTCTGTGAAAGTCACTTCCCCTCTCCTCCCAGTCACTGGGAGTTGGGGGGAAGTGGGGATAATTGCCCTGACTCACCTCTCAGAGAGGAGCTAATTAGGGCTCAATGAAACAGAAAGGTGTAAGTTGAAAGGGCAAGGGAAGAAGCAACTCTGGATAGAGCTCTGAGGAGGGGGCTTGGCTTTCACACTGCCTGGGCAAGCCATCCTCTGAGATCGGGAAGCCTGGGATACATGGTCAGCTTCGGAAGGTCTGTAAACTTCTTTGAATTATGAACAGGGATATGTGGATATAAGCCTGCATGCATTTTATGGGGAAGGTCTGTAGCTTTCATCAGATTCTCAGAAGTTAAATAACCCCAAACTGTTCTGAATCACTGCCTTCGGAAGTTTGACTTGTTGGGTTCTGAGGAGAGGAGGTGATGTTCCTGTTTGGGGAGGGGCAGCAAAGGTTGGGCTTCCCCAGGAAGTCAGAAGGCAGCTGTGCTAGGTACAGTGCTTAGAACAGCCCGTGCAGAAAGGCCAGCAACTATTTAATAAGTTCCTACCAACTGCCTGGCACTCTTTTGGGCCCTTGAGGTGGAAATGAAATACTTATTTTTCTTTTTTTGAGACTGAGTCTTACTCTGTCACCCAGGCTAGAGTGTAGCGGTGCAGCCTTGGCTCACTGTGGCCTCCAGGATTCAAGCAATTCTCCTGCCTCAGCCTCCTGAGCAGCTGGGATTACAGGTGTGTGCCACTACACCTGGCTAATTTTTGTATTTATAGTAGAGATGGGGATTCAGCAGGTTGGCCAGGCTGGTCTCAAACTCCTGGTTTCAAGTGAGCCACCTGCCTCAGCCTCCCAAAGTGCTGGGATTATGGGAAATGAAATACTCTGACTCATCTACATCTCCCATCCCCTGCCCTGAAGTCTGCTCTTCCCAGGTGTTTGGCCCTAAGTGGGCACATCCCGAAAGACAAGGTTGAAGAACATGTGCCTGTGGATGTGAGTGTGTTATGCTATGCAAGGATCTGGGCTGAAAGTAAACCATGAGTAAGAAATAGAAAAGCAGTCATCTGTGGAGGCCGTATCACAAAGCAAAAGAGGTGTTAGAATGGGTCTGAGGCCACTTGGGCCCTGATTCTTATGTTGATCCTAAATCACTTTGTGACCTTAGCGATCACTTAGCTTCTCTATGTTTATTGTGCCATCTGTAAAATGGGCTAACTTCCCCTGACCTAAATATTGACAGTAGCTGTTGTGAGAAATAAAAAGGAATTTAGCAAAAATTAGCATTTGTTATATTCTCTTATTTTAGAAGGTAATAAATGCTCATTGTAGGAATATGAAAAACCCAGAAAAAAGAGAAAAATTATTTGCAACCTCTCCATTCTGAAGTATATCTTCTTATAAAGTCTTGGAAATTTTCCTTACAAATCACTTTTTCACGCATATATTTTTTCTCCTTACTAGATCTTAATGTTCATGTAATTTCATATCCTGCTTTTCTCACCTGATATTAGACAGTGACCATTTATGTCCTTAATCATTCTTCAGAAACCTCATTTTTAATGGCTGATGTTCCATCATTGGAAGGCACCAAACTTTATTTAACAAATTCCCAAGTGTAGGCCATTTATAAGTTGCTTCCAAGTTATTTCATTATTGTAAATAATGATATGTTGAGCAGCCTTGTGTATAAATCTTTGTGTTTATCTCTCTTACCTTAAAAGAAATTCTTAGAACTGAGATGACTGGGCCAGAATGTAAAGCTGATATAATTAATTATTTTAATATATGTAAAGTACAAGGCATTGATGAGACTTATGGCAAATACCTATTCGTTCATTATTAATGTAACTCCTTGCATTTGAAACATTTCTGTGAATGAAGGGCGAATGTTTCCATGCTCCTGGCGGCAGGGTAGTGCAGTTGAATTAGTGTCTATTTCTCTCTTTCGCAATTGTCTTATACTAGGAAAACAAATCATTAATGGTAAGAAAGTTTTCATTATGAGACAACAGGGAGTGTCAACAGGTGTCCTTTTAAAAGGATCAATAAACAAGCTCTTGCCAAAGTTCTGAAACTCAGTTCCGGTCAATACCCTACATATCTGAATAACACAAGCAAGCCCCATTATTTCTCAGACTTCTGTAGCCCCACCTATTAAAATAGGGACACTAGTCCTTAACCCACCTGACATAAAGGAATATTGTGAAAATCTAATGAAATTGTGTGTCTGTGAAAGTATAACAACATAAGCAAAGGTTGTTCTTTGCCTTCTCTTAATCATGAGACTGAGGGCTGCTGGGAGTGGAAGGAAACAATGGAGAACCAGGAGCAGTGGAGGGAAGCATCTGAAGGACTGAAAGAAAAATAAGTCCTGGCCGGGCGCGGTGGCTCACGCCTGTAATCCCAGCACTTTGGGAGGCCGAGGCACGTGGATCACGAGGTCAAGAGATCGAGACCATCCTGGTCAACATGGTGAAACCCCGTCTCTACTAAAAATACAAAAATTAGCTGGGCATGGTGGTGCGCGCCTGTAGTCCCAGCTACTCAGGAGGCTGAGGCAGGAGAATTGCTTGAACCCAGGAGGCGGAGGTTGCGGTGAGCCGAGATCGTGCCATTGCACTCCAGTCTGGGTAACAACAGCGAAACTCCGTCTCAAAAAAAAAAATAAATAAATAATAAAAATTAAAAAATAAGGCCAAGAAATAGCACACGGAGTTTGTTAGAGGTCGGGCCTGGAAAAGCCCTGGAAGAGGAGCAGATCCAGATGGGCCCGTCTTCCCTTTAGGCTGGGCCTGGTCTTGGGCCAGCTCTGTCCTGGGGACCACTCTCAGACACAGGAGACTGATACCTCCCCAGAAACAAAGATCTTTCTCATTTGACACTGGGTGCCTTGGGACTCAGCTCTTTGCGAAGCAGTTATTAGTGGCTAGTCTGATCAAACTCACAGCCACCTTCTCCTCCAAACCTTCAGATAGGCTGGATCCTGCACTGTGGAAATGGGGAAGGGAAGGGGGTCCCTCTGAGCCAACTGCTAACCCCCAGGGGAGTGACTGTGAGAATCAAGAAGGAGAATCCTATGAATGGCCCCTCTCTATCCACAGGAATGTGCAACACTTCCCAGGCTCCCAGAGCCAAAGACCTAGTATTATAAACAGAAGCTGTGGTCCTGACCTGTCAGAGAGGTTAATCCCCCAGACATCAGGGCCTGGCCTGGTGGAGTTGGGAGCTGGGCTGATAAAGCCTGATAAAGGGAAACAGCAAGAGGAGAGGAACTGCAGGGGTGTGGCATGGACCCCCATGAAGGCAGTTTCTGATGGAGGCAAGTCATAAAACTTTCCCTCATTCATTCCTCTGCCCCTGAGCAAGACTGCTCCTCAGCCAGCTAAGAGTACTACACAAAGGATCTGTCCCCTGCTCACTGGACACCTTGCAGGGGAATGGGAGGAGGATAACACCTGAAAGTTGTAAAGAAATAACTTCTGGCATTTTCTAAGCTGCCCTGAGGCAGAAGAGACAGAAGAACAATTCCAACATGGTTCCAACTCTCAAAGAACCGGAAACTCTGTCCAGGACTGATGCGCTCTGCTGGCTCTCTTATAGCTCTTCCCTTCTAATTGACTTGAAGAAAAGCAACTAATGAACAATGTGAGCTGCTGGAAATGTACCAAGTCATGTGGTACAAGCCGGGAGTGCTGTAGGAGTTTAGAAAAGGCAGAGATTGGTGTGGGCTGAAGTGATTAGAACAGGTTTCCCAGAGAATGGGGGCCAGGACACAGTCACCGTTCTGGAGGTTTGGATCCACTGTAAAGAGGGCAGAGAGGTGGAAAGGAGCAGCTTTAGGAGTGAAGGGAATGTGCCTGGGCAGTGCTGAGGCTCAGGAGTGCCCCGGGATGGAGCAGGGGAGCTGTAGGATGAGTGGCTGGGAGCGCAGGAACAGGTCGGGGGAGGAAGCCAGATTGTAGATTGCTTTGAATTCTAGGCAGAGGAGTTTAGGCTTCACTTTACAGCAAATAGGGGGTAGAAAGAACCCCCAGAGTGAGGAAGTGTGGGAAGCCATGCCTTGCTGTTTACTCCCACCAAATTAATTCCTTTTTGCCCTCAGTGAGGCCACTTCAACCCCTGAGCCATGTAAGTTCTTTTCTAAGAGCTAGATGTACTCCAAGCATGCTCTATGCTGGCACAGCCTGGATGGAGATTGCTGTCAGGCTCTTCTTTCTGCACCACCACCCCTAGAGACCACTGTCATTCTTCATTGTTTTCCCATGCCTCCTGTCCAGCATCCCCTCTAGGTTAACAGGCTCAAGGGAGGAGGGCAGACACTGGGAGCTTGCTCTGTGCTGGGGCACAGCCTTAAACAGGCTCCAGCCTCTGTCTACAAAGCCCACAGCCTGGTAGAGCCAGATTAAATGGACATGCAAAGCATGACAAGAATCTTTTTTTGCTGGCAGCCTGGAGCCTCCAATGCTGAACTGGGTCTTCCTCACAGTGCTCCTGGAACCATGGAGCCCTAGATGGAGGTCTGGG